CCATCCAAACATGGCCTCCAGCCCCTTGGCCAAGGTGGCTGGGGTGGTATCCATCTGTCCGCCCATCAACAGATATCGCTGAGCCTCCCCTGGGCAACCAGTGCCTGGCAATAGTGACAAACTCCTTTGAGTTTATGAAAATGTTTTCCAATCCATTTTAGATTTTCAAGAAGAAGAGATAATGATCTTCAGACACATGAATGGGGTAATGGATCATGTGAAGAAACACATTTTTCTCCTGGGACATTGGCAAGCAGGAAAACTTCCCCCTATGTGTTTTCCCCCCCTCTGGGCTGGAAAGAAGGAAGTCAGTGTGTAATAACCTTCCAGGCTCACCTTCTTATAAATGCTAATTGAAGTAGCAGGATAGACAATGGGATGGTTAAACATCTCCTCCCCCTTCCCTTCTCCACAATATATGTGGAGGTATCAAATGCTAGAGAGGCTTTAGAAAGACAGATCTCTGGAGACAGGAATAGCTGCTTTGACTTGGGTGGGCGGACCTGGGTCAAGGGGGTGGGGAAAGAGATTTGATAACATTCCTTGCAACAGGAAGGGAAGTTCTCTTGTGGCTGGATCTATCAGGGGAGACAGACCTCTGACCTGAGGTCTAGGGAAGGTGGCTATTTTGTACATCTGGCTGGCCTAGATGGCTGAAGGACAATTGATATTGTAAAAGGTTACTGTGAACTGCAAAGGTTTTTTAGTCAGATTGTTGCACTCTCTAGATTAATAACTATGGTTTGGATATCTAGCACATTCAATCCTTGAATATGTTTGGTGTCTGTCAGAAAAGTATACTCCCTAACCCTGTCTGGCTCCACCTACTTTTGATGTAGCAGCAGAGACTATGAGGCCTCTATTGGGCCCAACATACTTGCTTGGCTCCAATTTACATTTGGAGAAAAGGCAAGGGGGGCATGCAGATCAGAGGCCTTTTAAAATTTCCTTTTGCCCTGTGTGCAGCCCAGAGAGAACATTGGCAAGAAATGTGCACTCTGTATATGTTCATGCTCTTCATTTTGCTGTTACCTAAAATGGTGTGGTACAGTTTCAAAGGGGCAACCAACTAGCTAATGCTTAGAGAAGAAACTGAAAAAACAAACAAACAGTTGACTAGCACTTTCAGAACTACAGCGAATATATTGCTATAGGATTTCGGAATTCTTTTGTGTCTTCTTCAAGCCTGTGATTTTCTATGTTTGCTAAAGTGGATGCTGAACCAGATCCTTTTAAAAGTTAATTAATGGCCCCAGCAAGCCTGTTAAACATTCTTTTTAAAATGTCTACACTCTTAAGAGTGTATTGACAGTTGTTCACCACCTAGGCAGCTACAGCTAACATGAAGTCGTTTCAAGCATAGAATAGTATTATGAAATCATTGATAATATCTACATAGTTTACACAATTGCTTTTCCTCAGATGTGTCCCAACCCATGAGCAAAATTGAAAAGTTTTCCATAGGAGAGGGTGATAGTACATACATTCTAAACTTTTACAAAACTGACTTGGATGCTGCCCAACTACAGCTTTCTCGGGATATTTTTTTGGATACTGCAAGGCAGTGGAACATTAAGCTTTTAAGGTCTCCATAAGGTGATTGATCTATTCAGTGGAGAACAAAGAAAAAGTCTGCATCAGCTTCTACCTAAACTTATCAGAATAGGCCTTACCATTCCTGTTTCCTCCTTCACTTCAGAAAGGTCATTCTCATACCTTCATAGAATAAAACTTCATAGAATAAAAACCTTTCCATGGTCAAGCATGAGACAGGCAAGGCTCAATCACATGGCTCTTCTTCATGGACATAAACAGATATCTCAGGAAATTGATCTTAATGTTATAGCTAATGAGTTCATTCAAAGAACATCAATTAGACAAAAACATTCAGTGTAATTTCAGTACAGGGGTTTCTGAATTGTTGCCTCTTAGATGAGACAGTCTGTATAGGTTTGCCACCAATCATGCCAACACATGCCAACTATTGGGGTGGGGAGGTGAAGGGCAATTGGGAAGGACAGGTGGGATATGGCAGGAGAGGATGCTTGTGGGGGCAGAAGAAGGGGTGCAGAAGAAGGGATAATAGGGGATTGGGAGCATATTTGCTTTAATTGTAATTTTAAAAATGTAAATAAACAGTTTGCATTGTTAAAATATAAACACTTTGCATTATTAATTAAAAGTTAAGTTCTTTTTTAGCTGTCTGAAGATCATTTGTTGAAGCTAAAAGTGTTTTGCAAGTTGAACCTAAAGAGCAGAAATTAACCATGCACAGGAATGCAGTCATTTCCCATCAACTCAATCATGTGATTTTTATTAATAATTTTTCTGAATGTCTGTGTTTTTAAGGTGGAGTTTCTAAGCAGTGTGCTAAGAAAGCAAGGTATATAACATCCTACGTGGCATAACTGTGAGTTTTCTTTGGGGTCATGGCTATGGGCAGTGCTCTGAATTGCCTCAAAATGTGCTTGTACTCACTTGTAGTATATGAGCTTGAAGGGAGAAGAAGAGTGCTCCTACTCTGAACTCTGTACATTGCTCAGAAATTGAGTGCACAGTAACTGTTTTGTATTCTGCCTAGGCTTGCCAAGTCCCTGCTGGGGACAGGTAAATTCCCACCCGGGAGGTCCGTTACCCGCCGCTGGTGGATCGGGCCCTGGGGGGAACTCCACCCCCTGCCAGAGGGCATCCCCAGCATGATGATGTCACCCGGAGGTGACATCATCACGCTGGCCACGTTGTGGGGGGGACACTCTGTGAATCGAGGGAAAACTCTATGGTTTTCCCTCGAGTCACGGTGCCCCGCCCCCAACGTGGGCGACACGATGACGTCACTTTCGGTGATGTCATCGTGGCACGCGCATGGGGAATCCCCCTGCTTTGTGGGTAAGTTGACTGGCAACCCTAATTCTGTCCTGGCTCAGAGACTCCAGCCATTCATTTACCAAACCAAGGCATCTGTGATGACACAATTTAGTAAATTTCAGTATGATGTTACCCTTATGAATAAGGCAGAAACAAGACTCCTGTAAATGGACTTCCAGGAAAACTTTAAAAATGTTCCCGTACAGGCTTTTCTGTTGCCTTTCTTACTGTCAAATGTGTGACCATTAGTTTGTCCTATACACATGGTATGTATATTTGCAGATCTTAAAGTGACTATTCTAAAAGTGAATTTCAAAAATAGGAAACAGCAGGAGGCTGCTGAGATACCACTATAACCAACTGGCCAACTGCCACCTTTTCTTGGGTTTGGCCCAGCCCCGGTTCATTGTTAAGGGTTTTCCCAGCTCTCCTCCCAAATTTTGGGGGAGCCCCTCCCCAAATCCCCCATGCTGTGAATCGAGGGAAAACTCTATGGTTTTCCCTCGAGTCACGGTGCCCCGCCCCCAACGTGGTCGACACGATGACGTCACTTCCGGTGACGTCATCGTGGCGCGTGCATGGGGAGACTCTCAACGGAGTCAGGAATCCCCCCACTTTGCGGGTAAGTCAACTTGGCAACCCTAATTCTGCCCTGGCTCAGAGACTCCAGCCATTCATTTACCAAACCAAGGCATCTGTGATGACACAATTTAGTAAATTTCAGTATGATGTTACCCTTATGAATAAGGCAGAAACAAGACTCCTGTAAATGGACTTACAGGAAAACTTTAAAAATGTTCCCCTACAGGCTTTTCTGTTGCCTTTCTTACTGTCAAATGTGTGACCATTAGTTTGTCCTATACACATGGTATGTATATTTGCAGATCTTAAAGTGACTATTCTAAAAGTGAATTTCAAAAATAGGACACAGCAGGAGGCTGCTGAGATACCGCTATAACCAACTGGCCAACCACCACCTTTTCTTGGGTTTGGCCCAGCCCAGGGTCATTGTTAAGGGGTTTCCCAGCTCTCCTCCCAAATTTTGGGGGAGCCCCTCCCCAAATCCCCCATGGCCCCACCTCATAGATAGTGACAATGGAGGCCCCTCCCTACGATGTCACTGCCCCCTTCTTAAGGACCTAGCTTAGCAACTTTGGCCCAGCCCCCCCCCCATTGGAAAGTCTATGCCCCTATTCTTCCCAGTAGGTTGTTGCAGATGCCTTATTTATTTCTGCTGAGAGATGCAGCTGATTTTTAGGAGCATTATAAGGTTCCTCATTTGTAACTTTTGAGGCAGCAGTTGTGCTTACAGTAGAACTCTTGCTTTGGAAATGTTTAAGTCCATTACCTTAGGGTACCTATTTAGATACCCATTTAGGAATGCTTATCTTAACTGGATCAAATGTTGATGGGAGTCTGTGGGATCAGAACAGAAGCAACTGTATGCTGTGGAGCTTTGCTTGTATTATATACGTTGCTGCAGATCGCTACTTGCATGGCAATCTGTCTAGCCGTCAGTTATCTTCACGTGTACGGCGGTATATTTTCTAGACGGGCCGTCTTTTAAAATACTTTGCCCTAAGGTTTCTCACTGCTGTGAAAGAGGGTAACTATTTCAATGAAACCTCCACATTCCCAATTATAATGTTACACCACAGCTAATGAAATCAGCAGGATTAACAAAAGCAAAAAAGAAAAAAAAAAGCTAGTGGGGGGAGGGAAAATAGGTACGAAAAGTGGCTCTTTCCCCCTCCCCCTCCCCCTGCAGGCTTAACCTTCGCCTCCCCTGAATGCTGGTGCTGCGGCTACTCCCTTCCCTCCCTGCCTTCTGTTATGGTTCTTCGCCATTGGCTGCCTCTCTGAGTTTAGGCTGGGAAGCTCTGTAATTAGGACCCTGGCGGACACAGATCCCGTTTCCTGGGCAAGCAGATAAGAAGGGGGGGGGAGTCCTGACAACAATATCCACCACCATTTCCAGCCCAGCGTGGTTGTTTTATGTCGCTTCGAAGCCTAAAGTTTCCATTGCGGCCCGAGCGGACTCTCGTCGTCAAGGCAGGTGGCGTGTGGCGGGCGAAGGAACGCCTGTTGCTGGCTGCCGGAGAGAGCCTGGGCAAGGCGGCGTGGAAGGAGGCGCGGGAGGGGAGGCTGCCGCTTCTTGTCAAGCCACGGAAATCTGGGCTGGAGTTTGGGAACGTCGCGTCGCAGGGAGGAACCGGCCCCGGGGGAAAGTCGGCGGCAGCAGGTAAGCGGCAGCTTTGGCACCTAGGCAGGTGGTTCCTTGAGGGGCGACGCGCCGGCGCACCTCAAGGCTTGAGGACCGTAACAGTCATTGGAAAAAGAAGTCGGTTGGGTTGCTTTCCTTCGCAAAGGATTCTGTGAGAAAGTAAGGGGGAGGAGAATCGGCTACTTGAAACCCCTTTGATCCACATTCTCGTTTGTTCTGTACAGTACTTATTCCATAGGAATACAAAATATAATCCAGCTCCGTTCACACCGATTTGAATTTTGCTGTTGAATTAGATGGATTGTGGATTTCATGGACGCCATAGGGTTGTTGCATCAGAAAAGAAAGGAAGATGTTCTGGTAGTCTGGGATAAGAGATAATCCTTTTAAAATATGGGACATCTGCCAACCGTTTTTATGCTCCATGGTGTTATTTTTCTTATGGCAACTCACAATTAGTTTAAGTCAGTGAAAAAATCTCGTGTTGATGTTAGCAGTGATGGCAACTTGCAACTTCAGCTAAAATTTTCTATTCTGGTGTCCTGTCTGGTTTGTAAATCACGTGAATGTGTACTCTGGAGGAACATGCTACAAATGCTTTCTGCCTTGACAATTATTGAAAACAGAACCTGGTAACAATTATTTGGATGAAAGAGAAGTATTTCTTGACTATAACTCCTTATATATTTATTATGCTGTACCCGTTCTTTTTTCCAAGAAGCTCAGGGTGGTATATATATTACTCTCACAGCAACCCTGTGAGGTAGAGTATGCTGAGAGACAGCCCCAGGTCCCCCAGTGAATTTCATGGTAGAAGAGAAGAAGAGATTGGATTTGTACCCCGCCCTTCACTACCCAAAGGTGTCTCAGAGCGGCTTACAAACGCCTTTCCCTTCCCCTCCCCACGACAGACACCCTGTGAGGTGGGTGGGGCTGAGAGAACTCTGACACAAACTGCTCTTTTTCAAGGACAGCTGTGCCAGAGCTTGCGACTGACCCAAGGTCACATCAGCAGGTGCAAGTGGAGGAGTGGGGAATCAAACCCGGTTCTCCCAGATTAGAGTCCACGCACTTAACCACTACACCAAACTGGTAGTTGGAGATTTGAATCTGGTTCTTCCCAGGTATCATTTAACACTAACCACTATGCTACACTGGCTCTGTAATACATAGAAATAAATGTGTGCAAAATGTAACACACTTCTCTCCCATTTTTGTTCACAGCTTGTTCACATTTGACAAAATATCTTGCATGGATATACCTTCAGGGAACTGGGTTTACACCATTGTGTTTGGCTACATCCATATGCATTTCACCACAAGTAATGCTCCAGGAGCCTACTGACAGGGCTTCCTGTTACTTAACCACTACACCAAACTGGTAGTTGGAGATTTGAATCTGGTTCTTCCCAGGTATCATTTAACACTAACCACTATGCTACACTGGCTCTGTAATACATAGAAATAAATGTGTGCAAAATGTAACACACTTCTCTCCCATTTTTGTTCACAGCTTGTTCACATTTGACAAAATATCCTGCATGGATATACCTTCAGGGAACTGGGTTTACACCATTGTGTTTGGCTACATCCATATGCATTTCACCACAAGTAATGCTCCAGGAGCCTACTGACAGGGCTTCCTGTTGCAAATACATACACTAAGACATGCATACTCATTGCATATGTGTAAGTTCAGCCCGAGGTACTTAATTGACCAAAGTGGTAGCGCCACACAGTCTGAAAGGTACACCTTTGGATTACTGCTTAATCCATACTGCTTAATCCATGTTCACAAAGTTGACCCTGGGGTAGAAACTGCTTGCTTGCTTGAGCAATTAGGCTGTCATCGTGTATGTATAGGAAGTATATATAATCTTCTGTACTGAAATAATATCCATATAGGAAATAGTGTAGTATGTAAAAATGTCTCTGTTAAACCTTTCAACCTTTCAAAGACTACTACTTCTATGATGCAAATATAATTCAAATGAAGCTTAGGAAGTCAGATGTATGTAAATGTTAGGCTCTGATTTGAGTAGGAGGCTCTGAGATCATTAGTTCTCAGACTTTAGCAGCCCCAGGATCCCCGTTTTGATAGAGAAATGTTCATGGGTTGCCATGCCCTCCACTTCTTCCCCCCAAGCACTGTGTATGACAAGCCATGCATACTCCATGAAGGCCTTCATCCCCCTCAAAACAATACAGTGAAAATCATATTAGCTATTATTTAAAGTTTAAGTAAAACATTCATATCATCTGTACTTGGTTTACAAGGGTCAGTTTCCAAAGAGTAGCTGGTCCTCTAGGGGCACAACCCAAAAAGCCCTGACACAAATTCTAATCAATGTCACCCCTTGATTGGAAGGGACTTTGTACTGATGAAAGCATGAATGGCTGATAACCTCTACCTGGAGACCACTGAACTGGGGTGGGGAAAAGCCTGGATAACGTTGAGCTGCTTATATAAATAGAAAGGCCAGCATCATAAAAAGATGACCTGGAAGCAGGTGCTTGCAGGTGGTAGCAGGTCTGAGTTCCCACCCTTTGAAAGAGAGAGAAGCCAATACTGTCCCTTTCCCCAGAGACACAGAGTCCCTGCCCCCATTCTTCGAAAACTGAGAGGGCTCTCTGTTTTCACATGAGCCAGATCAGCACAAAAAGAGTTTGCTGTCTGCCTTACAAAGGACTCACAAACTTCCTAGAGCACCTCGTGGGCCTTCAAGGATCCACAGAACTCAGTTTGAGACAAGCCGGTGTATATAACAATGGGCACACCTGTGTCTGTGTGTACTGTGTGTTACTTCCTTATCATCAGGTTGATTGTATTTTAGATGCATGGGGATGAGCCACTCACCCATGCTGGTTCTGCTGCTGACAGGTGCATTTGCAGTTGTGATGTCATAGCATTAATTGTGTCAGATTTGTTGTTACTGTTGGGTTAACTGCTATTGCCCTGTATTATACTAAATCATTTCAGATTATTTAAGAGGGACAGAATGCTCCATTTAGTAGTGAAGGGCATTTGTGTTTTAGTATAACCTTGTCTGGAAGTTATACTTTTGACTGGGGAAAACGTCTCTCTAAATCCAGATATTTAAAGTATGGTTGTGGTGTACATAGTCAGTTAAAAAGCAAAGGTTTTTCTACATACTCCAAGATGGTGTTTTTTGTTATCTATGGTTCAGTTGTGAGCTCTGGCACTGAACTAAAAGATTTAGGACCTAAACTACAGTGGGCTTTTTCTTAAATTAAGCCTAGGGGCAGTGTGCCCTGACTTGATGAGGGACCCTTAACCCTACCACTTAAGACTGCAGGTAGGATGTAAAGGGGGGAATTCTCAATACTCCCTTAAAAACAAACACACCTAACTGCATACATAAATGTGGATCCTGCAGTGGTGGTCTCTTAGTGCAACAGCTGTTCTTTCTATAGAACATCATTTCCATTTATGGAGGAATGGATGGAAATTTTTGCTGATGCTGATTTTTTTTCTGCTGCAGACACCCACTTTGGTCCACTGACCTGCAGAAGTTCAGCTTGTGAGGGAGCACTGAATGCTGAGATGGGGAAGTTGTCCTCCTAAATTATGACACCTCTACCACTGCTGAGGTTCCAAGCCATAAATGTTAGTACATAAAAGGTAATAAGTTGCAGCACAGCCCTTTTCCTCATTTGTGGAGGAATTTTTTTATGGGAAACCAATGGAAACTACAGTTCCCCCTCTTCTCTGAAGTGGTGTATTCCCAGGAAGGCCCACATGACTTTGCTGAACCTGTAGATCAGCTTTCAGATATTGCATGGCTGCTGGTTGTGAGCTGTTCACAAAATCAAGATTCAAAAGTTGCTTTTAAGCTGTACATGCAAAAAGTTATAAACTGTTAGCCATACGTCTTTGTTGTGCAATTTGGATCATTTAAAGATAAGTCTTATGAGTATCCACCCACCTTTTGTTTACGTGACCACATTTTTAAAAAGTTGCCTGAGAGCCAAACTAGATGTGATATTTCGCATGAATCCTGTCTGGGAGTGTATGTGCAGCTCCACAGTGGGGCAAATAGGTGTACCCAGGGGGCTGTTCCATCTTGGGAAAACAATGCAAGTAGTGGGAGGGAGGCTGAAGTTGCTGCTTACTTGGTGCCATGGTCCCAATCTAAATCGTGCCTCGTGTGCTTGGAAACTTTGTTTCCAGACAGTTATATTTGGCTGTGACACAATATGAGTTGGTTGGGCGACCCTCACGCCCAGCGTACCAAACATCATTGGGCCGCCGGGGAAAACCCCACCCCCAAAGTACCAGGAGCATGGAGACGTGCCTGGCGTGATGGTGTCACCTGGAGGTGACGTCATCACGTTGGGCACGTTGTGGGGGGACGCTCTGTCATTTGAGGGAAAACTCTATGGTTTCCCCTCCAATGATAATGCCCCTGTCCCCAACGTGCCCGACGCAATGATGTCACTTCCGGGTGACGCCATCACGCTGGGCACGTCTCCATGCTCCTGGCACTTTGGCGGCGGGGAACCGACCCAATTAGTGGGGGTTTACCACTCCAGTGACAGTAACACTTGGCAATCCTATTGATAAGCTAGAACTGATTTGATATCTTTTACCATAATGTTTCCTATTTCATCTGATCGAGGCTGCAATCATACGCACAATTAGACCCAAAATAGGTGCAAATGCCGGGTGGATTTAAAGGGCACAATCAGACAACAATATCTGGGATGCACCCCGCAGCTGTCAGCAACCCCTTTTTGCTCCGCCACAGAAGTGGAGTTAAAAGACACCGGGGGAAATCTGGTAGTAAATGGGTTGCGATGGGCCATGGATAGAGTTTCCTGTGTCTGATTGCTCCAGCGTGCTCTCATGGCATTGGGATGGTCTGATTAGGCCATCCCGACTCTGTGCCGTTGTTTCTCCCCCCTTCGAAGTATGCGCATCATCGCAAACTCCATAGGGAGCCCTCAGTGCGGAGGTGTGATTCATCGATCCCTCGGTTAAGTGCATGGGGAAAAAA